GCTTTATCAAAGCCTGACATTTGCAGAGACGGTTTTTAAGGAAATAAAATGTTGCAAGTGGTGTTACAGCCTCCCGGGACACGGCCACTCCCCGGGCGGCTCTGTCTCCCCCCACGCCCCTCCGTCTGTCCCTCCGCCGCCCTTGGGTGATGTGTGTGAATGTGCCGTGCCCTCCTCTCCTCAGGAGTGTATGTGCGGGGTCCCCACCCCGTGCAGGGCCTGCTCCCTCCCAGGCTGTGCCGTCTGTGGGAGAGCCATCCCGCCCAACCAGGCAGACCCTGGACCACAGGGGCCCACGCCTGCCCGTCGTCAAGGGGATGCCCTTGGGCCTCCTTCCTGTGCGTGCGGCCTTGACCTCCCGTATCAGAGTCCTCGGAGGAGAGGAGGCGCCGGTGGCCCGGCCTCCACCCGCTCCCGGCAGCCCTGGTTCTCACCGGCTTTTGTCCCCTCCTTTCTGGACCCCTGCCCAGAGCTGGGGGTCACGGTGTCCTCTGTGCGCCCGCTGAGCTGTGTGGGGTGGAGTCGGCGCCCCCGCCTGGGCCTTTTTGGGGATGTCATTGCCTGGATGGGGAGGAGGCTGTGGCCCCAGCTCCAGGGACTCTCGGGGACCCCGGGGCCCCGCTGGGCGGCCTCAGTCCTGGCGCCGCCTGGTCAGTCCTGGGCTGGCCCTGCCCGTGGGCTCCAGTTTTGCAGCTTCCTGTCCCTGCTCTGTGCGTGGCTGAGGGTCCACGTGGCGTGAACGCGGCTCTACTGCGACCTGAGCCGCACTTCCTGCCGCGACAGGGCGAGCGTTTCCTCTCCCCTGGAAAGTCCTGGAAAGTTTCAAACTGCCCGGCCCCTGGTTGGTCCCTGCACCCTGGCCAGGGCTGTGGCTCGTGAGGGCACCTTTTGTTTATTTTTTAAAAAATATTTTTATTGCTTTTAGGGAGGAAGGGCGAGGGAGAGAGAGATAGAGACATCAGTGATGAGAGAGAATCATGGACCGGCTGCCTCCTGCACGCCCCCCACTGGGATCGAGCCCGCAACCCAGGCACATGCCCTGACCGGGAATTGAACTGTGACCTCCTGGTTCACAGGTCGACACCCTCAACCA